AAGAGGTTGACTGGGCTGCAGAAGGCACTGTCTACTGGACTCTCAAGGGACACCAGAGAATCAGGTCTGTGCAAGAGACCTTGGAAAGATCCAGCCAAGTAGATGGAGAATCCTTGGGCCAAGGTCACCCATCAGAGGAGCCCACTGATGGTCACTTCACCTAATACAGGCTGTCCCAGTCCTGTATTCCTATGACTTTTCTTGCCTGAAAAAGTGGTAAAAACGGGAAAATCGTCTTCACTTCCTACATTCAGCATGAGTGCAGCTCATGGCAGAATCTAACTTGCCTGGCAGACCTGAGCTGCATGCAAGCCGGTTTCCATTTCTAGCTTCCCACGGAGCAGAAGTCACACTGGAAGTGGAAATGGAGGCACAGTGCATTGGATGCTGCTCAACCCAACAAAATGTGAAGGCGAAGGTGGCATCAGCAGAGCTGTCTGATGAGCTGGGGCCCACTGTTGATCTCCGAGGGAACCAATACCACTCCCAGTGAGCTGAGCATCGAGACCAACCTCCTCCCCGCCTCCCTCTTTCACCTCGCCTAACCCTTGTCTTCCACAATAATTAGGTGAAATGTATTTTCTCTCTTTACAGTGAGTTTGATGATCAGCAAGAGGGCCTCAGGGCAACTATCCCCTCTAGTCTGTCCATTGTGCAACGTGCCAGGAACTGCACCGTGGGCTGGCAGGGACGAGAATAGCCCAAGGAAATAATGATCTTTGTTCTTGAGCTCTGCAGTACTGGAAAGCATCTCTGGACTAGGTGATTAGCATCAAGAAAATCTACTTTTCATCTCACTAATGATTCTAACATACAAATATCCAAGGATTGGTCTTTTTTTAAAAAAAATCATATCTATATTCCCATGGAGGTCACAACACAGCTATTTACTCTTATTATGTGTTTGATTTCAATTGTTGGCAATTGATTTTTAATCATTTTTATTGGCTATTCCACATTAGGTGAGTCATTTGACCATAAACCTTCACCTAGACGAAGGTGCCCACCTGTCTGTCCGCACTCATGACCTCTGTAAACTGCCCCTAAATCAGCCTCTTGGCAAGAAGGCCCTTTGGCTGCCATCTTCCAGTCAGTGAGCACACTTGTAACACGGTGCTTTCTCTACCATCGCCTTGACTCTCAACTGGTTTCCAGCCTGTGATGGGTGGACTGAACCTATGGCTGGGTTTAGTGATGATTTAGTTTTTTTATGGTTTAGATTAGGAGTCCCCAACAGCTCAGGTGTGAGACAATGCAAAAAAGTTCAGATGCAAAATGATTGGGTTGTGAAGGCATTCGGCACCCGATTGGGATCAACTGGGTGGTGACTCTAGCAGGTAGTGTG